ATGGGTAATCGATTACCAGAGAACCTTTTAATAAGTAAATTTCGAACATATGATTTTCATTGTCTAGTAATCGATTACATGTATAGGTAATCGATTACCAGACTCTTAAAAACAATGGTTTCCTCAAATTTAGTCATCAACAGTTAGTGAGGGATTCATCCCAGTTAGTGACGGATAAAATCCGTCGCAAATTGTGACGGAATTCTGGCGTCGCAAATTGTGACGGATTCTACTTAATTAAAGTCATCACAGTTTGTGACGGATTTAATCCCTCACAAATTGCGAGGGATTTAATCCCTCACAAATTGCGACGAATTTTTATTAATTTCTAAACATTTATTATTAGAAATTAAGGACGGAAATTATACTGTTTGTGATGCCTTAATTCCGTCACTAATTGTGACGGAGAAAATAATCCGTCACTAAATATTTTGTGACGCCAAATTTTGTGACGGAATCATTTCCGTCACAAATTCCGTCACTAATTGATTTGTGACGGATTTTATCAAAATTAGTGACGGATTTGTTCCCTCTCTAATTTTAATTTTTCTAGTAGTGTAAGTCAAACCAAGGATCACCGTTGAGTATCCACCAAAGGTTCGGAGGTTCACTTTCACAAAGGACGTCAATACTCATCCCGATTGAGAGACGTCGTCAAGCCTCTCAAATTAGTTAGCAACAACGAGGGCACCATCAAGTCAAACCAAGGATCACCGTCAAGTATCCACCCAAAGGTTCCAGGGTCCACCTTCACAAAGGATGTCAGTACTCATCTTGATTAAGAAATTGGTCTTCTAGTTATTTATTCTCGCCCAGTCGGAATTTAACCGATCAATCAAGAGTTTGGTCTTCGAGTTATTTATACTCGCCCAGTCAGAATTTAACCGATCAATCACGAGTTTGGTCTTCTAATTAAACTTTTTACATGACAAAGCATCATCAATAATAAGAGCCAAAAATGTGAAATGTTGTTTATTATCAATCTACTGTTCTTTTTATTTAACTTGATGACAAAGAACAATGACTATTTAAGAAGAATAAGAAAAGACTAAGAAACACATAACTATACCAATTGAGTATTAAGAAAAAAACTAAAATATCATCCAGGAAATAGTTCTTCACTAATGACTAATAACCTTTGCAATTCTATAACAATAGCTTCAACTTCATTTTGTCATGTGGATCCTTTTAGATTGGAGGAGGGCAAAAAGTGATAACATATCTTGGAGCCCTGCATCTGTTAAGGCTGCTAGAGTCATCATATGCATAACTATATGCCTTAGGACAAATAGCCTTAAAGAGATGAGCAAAAAGGGTAGGCTTGCATGTTTTGGGGTCAGAATAACTCCCTGTGCAGCAATACTTTGCTGATTGCATAGCCAAGCATGCACTCTTACACCCCACAACCTTGCCATTTCTCTTCACCTCAAGTGCTGAAGGACAACAAACATTTAAATCCACCTCACAGGAGGCCACACCACACCCAATTCCACCCCCAATTGGCTTCATGGAAACAGGCAAGTTGAAGCCATCAACCAAACTCACATCATAAAAGTGCAAGGGAGAGGAGGAGGACCCAAGGGTCATTTCAACCACTGTTGCTGGTGGCACCCCTCCTTGTCCTCTACAGTGTAGCTTCCCATTGCAATCACCTGTAAGACAATGGCCATTTCCATCATTGTCAAAGTTGCAACCCTGCCTGCCCCAAATTCTCCCTGACCACTTCTCTGGCACATCAAGCACTAGTTCTTCACCACTTCCAAGATGCACCCCACCATCTTTTAGAGTCTGTTGTCCTGCTCCGCCAAGTATCCCTGGCCATATACTTTCCCCACAATTGTTCACTATAATTAGTTGAGCCCCATCTGCAAAATAACAAGTTATTTCATGCTTAGAAATAGCATCTGATAGCCTAGAGATTCCAAGATACTCTTTCAACTTCATTGGATACATGTCAAAAGTGTTTTTGAAAGTTTTTCCATTAGAAAAAACTCTTTATTTTCAGTAGAGAAGTTTTGAAAAACTCTTCTAAACTTATATTTAAATAAATAAACTTTTTATCATTCAAAAGCATTTTCTTACATATGATCACTAAACATCTATCATATTAATTGTTATATAAGATATAAAGTGTGTTTAGATGTAAGTTTATAAGTGTTTTTGATAACTTCTTTATCAAAAATAACTCTTTATTTTTAATAAAGAAAATCTCAAAATCACTTCTAGTTTGTATCCAAACACGTTCATGATCATAATAAAGTAAATGATCAATTTCATCCATGAAGTATTACCCTTTCCCCTAACTAACTAGTCCCTAAAGTATAAAATGAAAACACAAATAGTTTTAAAAGTAATGAAATCATTCTAAGTAATCCCTTGGATATTTAAATTAGTCCATGAACTTGACTAATATACGTCAGCTATTGGGAATAAAGTGATAGATATTTAATACTTTAATGATTACTTAAATAGTTTTATTGTTCTAGAGATCATTTAAGAGAGAAGATAATACTATGAAGACGAAATTGGTGGTTTATTTAATCATTATATTATCTTATGTTTTCCTCTTAAATCTTCAATACACGAATCATGACAGTAACTATACACTATATAGCATATATTGAACTATGTAGTGTAAGAGGAGAGAATGCAGTATAGTAACAAGTGCATCAAAAGTTTGTATTACACATAAGAAACGAATCAATGAGAAGGCAGAGGAGGAAATAAAATATTACCTATGAGTATGATGGAGCAAAAGGCAACCAGGTAGAAGAGAAAGGGTAAGAGAATAAAGGAAGTTCTTGCCATTGTTTCAGTTCAATGAATAGCTACACAGTTCAAGAGGTGGTGCGACTGACTCTGTGTGTGAGGCTTCCAAGTTCCAAATATTTTGTCCTCAAGTATAAGTCGTGCCAAGTGCTATCTTTTTATATGAAAACAAGACGGTTTTGTAACTTCCACTGTCACCTTCATTAAGCTTTGGCCTTTATTTTCTCCACTCACTTTCTGCTTTCTCTTTCATAGCAAATTAAGAAGCATATATGCATTGCTTCCAGCTAGAGATTTCTTTTCTAAGTAACTGGTTTATTAAAACGATTAAAATATTGCTATTTAAATATTGTAGAATGTTTTTGTGGAGGATCAGGTTGCTACTAACTAGGCAACTTGAAGCATCTTTCGGCTGAATAAAAAAAAAAAAAAAAGGCAACTTGAAGCATCTTTCGGCTGAATAAAAAAAAAAAAAAAAGGCAAATTAAAGAATTTTTCGGGTGAAAAAAAAAAAAAAAACATCATGTGATATGAACTTTAGGTGCATTAGAGAATGTTTACAGCTTGAACTTCAATGACATGGTATTTCTTTTCGGTGAGGCAACATTTTAGGTAGTACAGGAATGTCTGGGATTTTAGCTTTATAACATCAGCATTATCTGTTTCTATCTTAAAATGGAAAAAGGGGTATAGTACAAAATGATTTTTTTTTTCAAAGTTAATACAGCGTAATTATGCCTTCTACTTTGTTCAGTCTTGTAGCTTAAGATTTGTTTTTATTCTTTGTGACACATAATAGTATAATTAAACACAATTTGGGTTGCATCCTATGATCGATGAAGCTTAGTAGAAGTATAAGCAGTGGTATAGAAAATATACTTGACTAAAGAAATCATCATGATAATAAGAGCACGCATCGAATTGATTTTTGGGAATTGATAACATGAGATTACTAATGTAGATCAGTGAAATTTAGCACATCTTTGGTGGTGAAATTACAGTGAATTATGGTGAGTTGTGTTATATTTGATTTGACTAAAATTTAGGACGTCTAGTTACTATATAAAATTTAATTCGGATAAAATTTAATTGGGAAAAATTATGGTGGCTGGTGATGAAACAACAGGGAGTTGTGTTTTACAATTTTTATTCGTTCAAAATTAATTTTTGAGCTTTTAGCTGATGTATTTTCTCTAATTTTGAGTTTCATTTGCTTTCTCTAATATTATACTTATCTTGAGGGGGAAAAGGGTTATGCATTGATAATATAAAATAGATTTATAAGATCATTTAATCCTAAAATATTATTTATGTTATATTTATTAACTTTTATAATAATTATCTTAATAATGATTATTAATTAGTTGATAGTATAAATTTTTTTATATTGATAGTGCATCACAATTATTTTGACTTTTAATTTATGTTTCAAAGAAGACAATTTCTCCTTTGTCTATGTTTTAAAAGGACCATAAACAAAAGTTAAAGATAGTTTTTCTCTAAGGTTAGACTATATATTTCAACACCAATTTTTATATATGAACAACTTTATGTTGTTACATCTTGAGAGAAATCAAAGGAGGATTTTTAAGATTTCGATTGTCGATGTTGATGTGAAAACATATATCATTAAAAAAAATTATTTACGTACAAAGAGGTGTTTGAAAATTCATAAATTAATGAAATATTACATTAGATCGGTGCAATAAAAATAGTTAAATTATATAATTAAATTTAATTAATTTATATAATAGAGTAAAATTTTGTTCCAAAAAATCTCATAAAATTAAATAACATGTGATAGTTACACTTAATGGCATAGCTTATAATGCAATGAATGCAATTTTTTTAATTAATGAGCGTGATTATATCTATAATATCTAATGAATATATTCACATTGTCTCTTTAATAGACTCCACAATAAATTAAGAGTATGAAAAAGATTAATTTTGGTTAGTATAAAAAATAATAGTAATTTTATAAAATTAATCTTATGATTAATCTTTTTTGTTTAAAACAATATAACACAAAAATCACTTTTTTTTACATAATATTATTATGGGTATAAATGTAAAAAAAAAAACTGATATTTAATAAATACATTTGAAATTGAGTTTATGGTTCTTATAATTAGAGAAAAAAACTACTTTCATTTTTTGTTTACATAAAGGACCATAGGTAATATTTAATAATCAATTATTCATAATAAAAACAAGTATTTAAAAAATAATTATGTTTTGCGGAAATAATGGATGAAAAAGCTTTATATCTCTCTAATTTATAAGATTAGATGTATTTACCACTATAATTTATTAAGCAAAGCATTTCATTGCATGTGATTTTAATTACCACTAAAAATAATGGAACAAAATATAGAATGTACTAAAAGAGTAAATTATAGAATTTGGAAATTCACCTATATGTCTCATCGTCTTTGGTTGTTGTTATTAGCTTTCCGTGGAATGCGAATCGGGGAGCAGAGCTTTGTGATCCCACCAAATCACTGTGTAATTGTGTTTTTTTCTTAGCTTTGGATTGTATTCGATGTATTTTCCAAGCTTTCTTTTTCATTCAAAATTTGCATCTTTTAATAATTTGTCCTTGTTTTCCCTCTATCATCACTTAAATTAAGGTATCTATTAAACTTGTAATGTGAGCTATATTGACCCGTGAGTTACTTTATAAGTATGATTTTGTCACGTTAACAAATTGCTTACTTGTCATTTTATGTTTTAATGTGTTTTTTTAATCTTTTAATTTTTTTTACTAAGCATTAAAATTATAATTAAATCATATATAATTAAAATAATAAATAATAAAAATATAATTAAATAAATATAAGCAATGAAAGATGTGATGCGAAGAAAATTTTAATTAAAAATATTCCCTTGACAAATCTTTAAATATATCACTACAAAAAAGTTGTCATGTACACACATCTTATTGTGACATCTTATAATGGTACATAATATATGTTGTTGAATCTCATATAAAATTAATAGTAAAATTATGTAAAATTATATAATAAATAGATTCATGTATATACCACAAAGAAATTATCATATAGTGACACATACCTTATAGTAACACTTTTTGTATGTTATTACGTGTAACATTTCTTTTAATATCTGAATAGAGATAAAATGATAAGAATTAGTTAATGCTAAATTTCAATTTCTGTGTCTATATTTTTGCCAATTCGCAGTTTTAATCTCTCTATTTAAAAATAAAAATATTTAGTCCCTTTATTTTAAAAAATACAAAATTTTAGTCCTACCATCAATTTGATGTTTGTTGATTCTTAAATTTTGACCTTTTTGTGATTTATCACTACTTAAATAATAATTAATATTTAGTGACATGACATGTAAAAATAAAAATTGAAAATAACATATAAAATATTTTTATTTCGCCATCTTCTCGTCCAAGGATGCTATCCTCAACGCAACCTCGTTGAACCTTTGCAAGAAATCTTTCAACAACTCCTCGCGTTGCTGTTTGAGATCAAACAAGTCTGACATGATCCGTGATTTCTTCTTGTTGGCAGCAAACTGCGCCATGAAAAGCCGACTAAAAACGTCAAAGTCGGTGATTAATCGGTCAAGAAGACCACTAAACTAATCAAGGGCTGCTTTTTTGAGCGTGCCCATGAATAGCTTGCAGCGAATTTCTATGCTCCCACCACAAATCAGCATTTGTACTCGGAAATTCTTCAAGTGTTGACTAGGATCCTGGGTTCCATCAAAAGGTTCCATCTTGGGGACCCGATGATCCCTCGGGATGATTTCGGCCTCTATGGCCTCCGAGAAAGGTCAGAAATCCCTAGGGACTTCCATCATGACATCTTCCGCCGCCGTCCGAGTATTGGCTGTTATCATAGCCTGCATCTCATCCGCTTGCCTCTTGATCTCCTCATTTTCTCTCTGAATAACCTCTTCCCTTTCCCTGGATCGTGCATTCTCCTCTCTCAAGCCATTGATCAGCGCCATCATCTCCTCCATGGTAGGGTGTTGTGAGTCGTTGTTCGATGTGCCGCCTCTCGCCATAGTAAAGTGCGGGTTCTTCTGTGTTACTTGGGGCGAAGGAAAAGTTTCACCGTAGCCCCACGGTGGGCGCCAAAATGTTCCGGCCAAAGGGCGGACTAGGGTTTCTTCCTAGGTTAAGCCTTAAAGCCAGAGCATTCAAAAGTGTAATCTTCCCTATTAACTCTAGGGTTTTAGGTTTTATTCTTTTCTGTTCATGGGCCACCTGGGCCTTGTGAGCGCGAGGATTTCCATAACAATTTTCCTTAGGAATATTTGATTATCAAAGATCGGCTTTTTATCCTTGATTCTCGGACCAGTCCAAAGGGTGAGACCCACTCGGACTTTGGCCGACCATACCCTGGCCGAGCTCATCATGGCCGAGCACAGCCTGGCCAATCTCACCATGGTCAAGCACAGCCTGGCTGATCTCACCATGGCCGAGCACAGCCTAGCCGATCTCTTCATGGTCGAGCACAACCTGGTCGATCTCACCATGGTTGAGCGCACCCTGGCCGACCATATCCATGCCGAGCTTGTCTAGGGGGTGGGTGAGATCACGGTCCGACTAATCTTACCCATGTGAGAGGTTAGATCGCCTGTTGACCAAGAAGACCCATATTCAAGATTCATCGGATCAAAACCTGTAAAGGGTATTAGATCGGGATCTGACTGGGACGGTACAGATTTCCTCTGTCCTTAGAGGCAATTTGCGAACAATTTTCCTTTTATGTTAAGGTTTCCATAGATCCATCAAAGATTTATTTATTTATGAGTATAGGTGTACAAAGTGTAGAGTATGTCACACATTGAACCAGTATTTAGACTAGTTCAACGATCTGTCCAATTTTAAAAACATTCGTTATTTATACATAACACTCTATATTGGTAAGATAGTGTCCACTTTAGACTTACACCTTTACGGTTTTACTTTTACTTATCACCCAAAAGGTCTCTAATCATTAGAGTATATGTGGTTTTACAAACTTATTTCTTTTATTATTTTAACGATGTAAGACTTTATTTATATTCCAACAGCAAAAACAAATTTTCATGCACACTCAGGAGAAAGAAGTGGCAGCGTACACAATGGTTCAATAACTAGAGGATTGATGACATAATCCTTTAAACTATGCATCCTAGATGTGGATCTCTTAGGCTCTTTAACACCCTTGAACTTTAGAAGAAAACTCTCATAAGTGAAATCAGGTGCAGCCATCTCCCTAA